TTTTGGAGTAGGTATAGCCTTGTTGGAGTAGGTGTGGCCTTGTTGGAGGGTGTGTCATTTTGGGGGTGGGCTTTGGGGGTCTTATATGCTGGAGCTATGCACTATGGGACAGTTTCCTGCTGCCTGTGGATCAAGATGTAGATAGAACTCTCAGCTCCTTCTCCAGCACCATGTCTGCCTGCATACTGCCATGCTTCCTACCATGAGTATAATGGACTAAACCTCTGAAACTGTAAGCCAACCCCAATGAAGTCTTTTCCTTTATAAGAATTGCCAGGGGCTAGAGAGATGGCCCAGCGGTTAAGAACACTGACTGCTCTTCCAGAGGTTCTGAGTTCAATTCCCAGCAACCACATGGTGGCTCACAACCACCTGTGATGGAATCTGATGCCTTCTTCTGGTGTGTCTGAAGACAGTGACAGTGTATACACACACACACACACACACACACACACACACACACATACTAAATCTTAAAAGATTTAAGATTTGGAGGGGTGGGGGGGTAGGGGGCTGGGAGGTTGCGGGGGCTGGAGAGATGGCCCAGTGGTTAAGAGCACTTACTACTCTCTTTCAGAGGACCTGGGTTCAATTCCCAGCACCCACATAACAGCTCATAACTGTCTGTAACACCAGTTCCAGGGGATCTGACATCCTCACACAGACACACATAGAGGCAAAACATCAATGCACACAAAATAAGAATAAATTATTTATCCCTTCAATGCACATAAAATAAAAATAAGTAAATAATTGTCTCTTTAAAAACAAAGTGAAAAGGGAAAGGGGTGGGGCAGGTGCCTTTGATCCCAGCACTGGGGAGGTCTGGAGGTGGATCTCTATGTGTTAGAGGCCAGCCTGGTCTACAGAGTGAGTTCCAGGATAGCCAAGGACTAGAGTGAGACCTATCTCAACTAACTAGCTAACTAACTAACTAACTAACTAGCTAAAGTAGATAGATAGATAGATAGATAGATAGATAGATAGATAGATAGATAGCATAGAGGGCTCTGCATTTACTTTCAAACACTACCTATTTCTTGTACAAAAGTAAGGACATTTTTGAAGCAGAGAGCCCAGACCTGTGACTGTCGATCTAGGAGCCAGCAGCTCCACACAGAGCAGAATCAAGCCCAATCAAGGGAATTATCTGTGTAGACTCAGATATGTGTCGGGCAGGAAATCAGGACTTTTATGTTTCGGTGCTGGGCTTGGTGGCTCACACTGTCCCAGCATTTAGGCAAGAGGATCCTGAGTCTGAGGCCAGCAAGAGCAATCAGAGAGGGAGGTGTTTATGAGCCAGTGACCGCTCTGTGTTCCATTCCCCAAACCCATCTGAAGGGGAATGTCTGTTGCAGTTTCTCTGTCTTAGCCTCAGCATGGTGGCAGGAGGGAGGGAGGAAGATATAACTTATTTTTAGGGCATAGGCAGTGGTGCATTAGTATTTAACAGGGGACCTTAAAACTCTGATTCACAGTGATTTCTCTACTATTTCTCTACTATAAATTCTACTGTAGGGGTCCAATTTCAAGGTTCTAATGCAGCAGAAGTGAACCCATGTGTGTTTACCATCTGCTGTCTTAAGTCCCATGAGCCTGTTTTAGGATACCACTGGAGATCCTGAAGGAAAAGTAATAGAGGAGCCACACGATTTAGCCTCTGATTTAGGTGACGAGACCGTTGGCCTCAAACCGGATGCTAACAGTATAATGGATGGGAAAGTGATGTAGAGGAATCCAGGATGAGGGTGGTGGTGACTGTATTCTGTATGTTGCTATGTTGGCTGGCCCCAGGGAATACATCTCCTGGTTTGCATGGTTTTATCCAGTTCCATCTCATCCTGATTCTGGACTTAGCCACTGTGACATGCTCTGTCAATGCCACAAAGGTAAACAAAGTGTATGTAGAGGCTGGGCAATCATTTACTCTGCACTTGCCCTGTCGGAGACCAGCCACCATGTTTTAAAGAAGGTTAGGCTAGAATAAACAGAGGTCTCATGGGAAACGCTGCTATGGATTTTTTTTTTCCTTGTGTCCCCTTAGAACTCGCTTGTTGAAGCTAGGCGTGTGTCTGCAGTCCCGGTGTTTGGAATGCTGAGGCAAGAAGATTGTGAGTGTTTGGCCAGTCTGAGCTACGTTATGAGTTTCAAGCCAGTTTGGGCTGTGTAAGGAGACCCTGTCTCAAAAAAGAAAAAAAAAATCACGTTGAAATCGGAATCCCAAAGTGACAGCACCAGGAGGTGTAGCCTGTGGAAGGTTACTAGGTCATGAGGGCAGAGTCCTGGAAAGGGGATTCCTGTCCTGTTAAAAGATACTTCAGAGAGTTCCCTCATGTCTCTCTACCATGTGAAGATTCAGAGGGAAGAGAGTTCCTGGACGGGAGCTGAGACCTCTCTATTTTTTGCTCTTCCTAGTTCCTGTCATTCAAAAGACTTTATATTATATTAAGCTATTTAAATCTAAGCTATCCTCTCATTATCCTCATTTACGAATGAGAAAGCTGACTATTAACTACCCAGGTCACTCAGCTAATACGTGGTTCTGAAAGGAGTCCAGGCTTGATGGCTGCATAATTTGTACTGGGTCTTGAGGGGGAAGAGAGTAGGTGTTAGTCAGGGGAAAGCAGCTAGGAGCGTGGTGGGGAGCACTGTCTTCCAGACCCTGTGAGAGCAAGTGAGCTTTCAGTAGCTTCTAAAATTTCTAAGATTTTCTCATCTTCTCTCCAGCTCTCTCCGCCATGGGAGTAATTCTTTCTTTACCTTTTATCCATTGTTTGTTTGTTTTCTAGACAGAATTTCTCTGTGTGGCCGTGGCTGTCCTGGAACTTGCTCTTTAGACCAGGCTGGCCTTGAACTCAGAGAGCCACCTGCCTCTGCCTCTCGAGTGCTGGCACTAAAGGTGTGCGCCACCACCTCCCAGCTGCAGGACTGAATTTCTTTTATCTTTCACATCTCTTTCTGAGTTTTTATTTGACTTTGTCTGATGTGAGGAGGACCCGAGGTGCGGAGAGATATGATAATCTTGGTGTCTTACTTTTTCTCTCTTTACATAAATGGGATATTCTTGAGGAAGATGAGGTGATTGATATATCCTGGAGCCAGAGAAATCACAAACTGCTCAATAATCAACCCTTGGCCTGGGGACTGTGTATGCTCATACACAGAGGGTTATGGATTCTGAGAGACAGAGAGAGGGGTTGGGGCGGGGAAGAGCGAACAAGAGGGATTAGTTTCTAAAGAAGTGAAACTAACAGTTCCCAGCTCGCTCCCACCAGATGAACTTGACCTAATTTAGAGAACACCGGGTGCGCAGGAGCAGACTGTGTAAGCAGAATGGTTTGGTCGAGGATGAAGTCAGAAGTGAATTTGGGAGGAGACTTTCTCCTTCCTAGGGTCAGGTTTTGGGGCAGAGCTGCGGACCATGGACTTACCTGTGTCAGCAAAGCTGATGATCTCATATTCTTGTCTCTGGTCATGCTCCAACAGGGTTTCCCGTTGGGGCCCACGGAGGCGCTGCAGCGCGGTCTTGAGAGCCGCTCTGGACACAGGCCGATTGAGTGTGGGGCGCTGGCTGAGGTGCAGCTTGTCCAGGATACTTTTCTTGGCCAAATCGAGAAGCAGCTCCCGCTGGCTCTCCAGGTCAAAGGTGGCACCCCAACATGCTGGACATGAACCATCAGTTTTGAGGTTCACTACTTTGGCTGGAGTCAGGAACAGAAGAACCAGGAGCAAGGAGGAGGCCATTGCTGGAGGATGATTTCCTTAAAGGACACAGAACCTTTGCTCAGGATCTCACCAAGAGTGGCTTCAACTCTGTCCTGGCCACCAGGGACCCTGGGAGGAGTGTGCCTCCAGCTGGCATGACTCCTTTTTGTCAGAGATACAGCGGCCAAACATCTGGCTCGAAAACTGAAGCCAGTACAGGTGGAACTTGGCAGTACGCTCCTGCCAGTGAAAGGACAGAGGGGGGTGGGGGTGGGGGGGGGGATGTGCGGATTGTTTGAAGAAAGAGATGTCTTTCTCTTTCTACCGTTGAGAGATTGTTAGCCAAATGAGCTGCTCCCCAGAGGACAAAGGTTAGGACCTGTGAAGCCTGGGGGGAAGTGTTGTAAGCAGATGTTTTAAGATGTTACTTCAGGGGCTGAAGCTGGACAACCAACAGGAGTCAGGCCTTAACAGTCTTACAGTCTTTTTTTTTTTTTTTTTTTTTTTTTTTTTTTTTTTTTTTTTTTTTTTGGTTTTTCGAGACAGGGTTTCTCTGTATAGCCCTGGCTGTCCTGGAACTCACTCTGTAGACCAGGCTGGCCTCGAACTCAGAAATCGACCTGCCTCTGCCTCCCAAGTTCTGGGATTAAAGGCGTGCGCCACCACTGCCCAGCTTTTTTTTTTTTTTTTAAGTGACGTTTTGTGTGTGTGTACATGGTGTGAGGTTGAGTCAGACTCTTCTCACTTAGCTCTGGCTTACTTTGAACTTGCTATATATAGTAGAGGTTGGTTTTGTACTCTTGTATCTGCTTCTCAGATCGGGTCTCACAGGTTTGGACTACCATGTCCAGTTAAGAGGCTGACTCTTTTGTTGTTGCTTATTTGTTTGTTTTTGAAACAGGATCTTATGGTGTAGCCTTAGCTAGCCTGGAACTGGGTATGTAGACCCTCCTAGCTTTGAACTGACAGAGATCTGCCTGTCTCTGTCTTGTAAGTGCAGAGAGTAAAGGTATGTGTCATTACATCTGCTTAAAGGAGACTCTTAAAAAAAAATTAAAATAAAACAGAGGCACTTCAAAGTTGCCTTCTTCCCCTCCTCCCCCTCTTCTCCCTCCTCCTCCTTCTCCTCCTCTTCTCTTTTTGTTTCTTTCTTGTTTTTTGAGACAGGGCTTCTCTAGGTAGCTCTGGAACTAGCTCTATAGACCAGGCTGTCTCTGCCTCCCAACTCCTGGGATTTAAGGCATGGGGCTCTGTGCCCTGGCTCTTCTCTGCTTCTTAAGTCCACCCACCTCCATCTTCCCTCCTAGGGGCTCTCAGCCCAATCTTCTTTGTTAGTTCTGGTTGGATTTTGCCCACTAAGTCACAGTTACCATCTGAAAGTTAAGGAAAGGGGAGAGAAAAGAAATGTCCAAACCTGATGTTCTTAGTGTGCTGGCTTCAGAAAACTAGGTGGGCGTGTCAGAATTGTCGAGAAAACAATACATTTGCAAGCATGTCAGTTTTATTGATTGCAATTTACCAAGTGATCCTAGTTTCCCGTGATAGCCTGCACGGCTGTTGGTAATCAACAGTCTCTTTTGAAGAGCCTTATTGAATACAGAGGCCAAGAACTGACATAGATACAAAGAGTCACTGTGGGTGGTTACATATTAATAACTCAGCGGAAGAGCTGCCTGAGACCAGGAGAGCCACAGGGCTGGGCTAGAAGACACAGGATTACAGGAAAGGGAGGGGTAGGACTATCTGGAAAAATGGACGGGTAGATGGAAATATAGGCAGACGAACAGACAGCCGTGCAAGCGGGGACTGTGCTGAGCTGACATTGAGCAGTTCTCTGCTTATTGGTCCCTGAATGGTGACAAGTTATCAAGACCATCCGCCACAGTGTTAGGGTCTGTGCCAGTCAGTGTCCGGTGAGGGCCTGGTCTTTCTTTTTTCTTTTTTTCTTCCTTCCTTCCCCCCCCTCTTTTTCTTTTTTCTTCTTTTTTCTTTTTGAGACAGGGTTTCTCTGTATAGCCCGGGCTGTCCTGGAACTCACTCTGTAGACCAGGCTGGCCTTGAACTCAGAAATCCTCCTGCCTCTGCCTCCCAAGTGCTGGGATTAAAGGCGTGCGCCACCACCGCCCGACAGGCCTGGTCTTTCTAATTAAAACTTTTTAAAGCAATTTATTCGACTAGTGTATGTGTATGTGTGTGTGTGTGTGTGTGTGTGTACTGTGCATGTGGCATGTGGTGACACAGGAATTCTGTGGAGATCTGTGATCAACATGCAGAAGTTGTTTCATCCACCATGTGCGTACCAGGGATCCAACACTCCCCATTGGGCTTGGAAGCACATACCTTTACCTGCTGAGCCATTTTGTCTACTCTCAAATGTTTTTGTTTTGTTTTGCTTGTTCATTTTGAAACAAGGTCTCACTATGTAATGCTGGCTGTCCTAGAACTCACTATGTAGATCAAGGTGGCTTTGAACTCAGAGATCTGCTTGCCTCTACCTTTTGAATGCTAGGATTAAAGTCGTATGCCACCATACCTGGCTTGTTTTTTTAATTTTTTTTTTTTTAATTTCTTTTTAGGTTTTCCAGACAAGGCTTCTCTGGCAGCTCTGGCTGTCCTGGAACTTGCTCTGTAGATCGGGCTGGCCTTGAACTCAGAGATCCACCTGTCTCTGCCTCCCCGGTGCTGGGATACCACCACTCAGCTTATTTTTTTTTTATTTTTGTGTTTGGTATATCTGTGGACCACATGTGTGCGGTGCCTGTGGGGACCAGAAGAGGGCATCAGATTTCTCTGAGACTGGAGTTACAGCTGGTTGTGAGCTGCCATGTGGGTACTGGGAATCAAACCTGGGTGCTCTGAAATAGCAGCTGGTGATCTTAACCACAGAGCCATCTTTCCAGCCCCCTTCTAATGGCTTTAATATGTCCATGTGTTTCTGTATTTCCAATCTATTTCCATGAGGATTCATGTGGTGCTTTTTTAACTTGTAGGAATAATTTATTATTTCTATAATCTGTGCTTCCTGGTTCTTGTTGGACACATGATGCAAGGCCATCCTGCCTTTTCATTTGTACTCAAAACAGCCAACAGCTGCTTTGTAAGAGTGTCACCTAGAACCTGAACACCATTGTTCACATAACTTCAGTCAGGATGGCAAATCAGAGCAGGGCAGAGCTTGGTTGCCAAGCCAGCTTTCTATGCCCTCAGGAAGGGATCCGAGGTCTAGATTTCCTCACCGTTTACAATCAGTGCTACCTAGGAAAAGAACTTGTGAGATTCAAAGTAGTGAGTCTCCAAGGTAGCAATTCCATTTCCATGTGGCCAGGACAGAGGTCGGAGGTTGGAGGTCAGAGGTAGGAGAGTGGGCTTTTTAAGCCAGTTGGCTTTGGCTAAAATTTGGCTCTCCTCCTGTGGAAAAGAAAAGGGGGAAAAATCTGTAAGAGCTCGGGCTGGGACTGGGGGCTTTGCAGTGCCTTGCACAGATGCATCCCAGCTTGCCATGACTCTGAGCTGGGTATGTCACCTCTCTTGCTTTAGTTTATTCATGAGACATGGGGGAAATGATCACTGAGAACTCCAATAGTGCTGTAATCAATGTCCTTTTAAAGAAAGCTAATCTATCCGGTGGCTGAGATTGATATGAATCAAGGTAAGGTCATTTATGATTCTTTAAAGAATTATTACATTTTTATTCTAAAAAGTTTACAAATAAAATCACCACACATAAAAATTAACCAAACCTAAAGTCTATACACTTCAAGAAACTTTTTATTTTATTTTTATTTGATGTGCATTTGTGGGAGTTTTGCTTGCATGTATATTTGTGAGGGTGTCAGATCTTAGAGTTATAGACAGTCTTAAGCTGTTGTGTAGCTGCTGGGATTTGAACCTGTAGAGGGAAAAGTTATGGATACTGGGTATATAGAATCCTTTTTAG